GGGCCGAACTCCATTTTGGAGGGTTTTATACAAATTTCACTGCATAGACACGATGGAGGAAATCACCTCTGCTGGTGATTAACGTCAGCCCCCAGCCCATCTCTCCCCAGGAGGCCAGGAGGGTGGGACTGAACGCTCCGCTGTCATGTGGTCGGTGCCCTGAGCCACCTGCCCCCTTCGCATGGCTTCCTGGGGGCCTCGTGTGCATAAACTTGGGTGTGGGCGAGGAGCGAGCTCCAGTCACAAAAGAGGCTCCGTTCACGTGTATAAAATGGCTGCCGTGGTTTCAGGAACAGCCGAAGGCCGAACGTTAGGAGGAAGTTACCCGGTGCAGGGACCTGGGCCCGTGGAGGGGGATTTTATATGTCTTCTTATTTTCTCACAACCTCACAAGTGCCATCTATTTCACTCTCCTCGGGGGCGAGTCTGCTCTTACCCACTATCACCCGTGGGGGTTAGCTGTGTAAGCAGGCCCGCCCACCCGCCTCCCAGGTGAGAGTGTGCCTGGGACAAGCGGGGACGACACGGGAGCCGCTGCCTGGGAGAGACGCCGGCGGGGTCCCCGCGGGGCGCACAGCTCCCGTGCGTCCTGAACACACCACGCAAGGGAGCCTCTCTCCAGGGGCCAGACTCAGGGCGTGCAGCGGCCCCGGGGGTGTCGGCACTGCTGTCTAGTTAGAGCGGGCGCTGGGCGAGGCTGCGGGCGCAGCAGGTGGCGAGCAGGGTGAGGTGGGGCCTCGGCCTCGGCCGGGCTGGGCACGGCCTCTGCCTGGCTCCGTCGGTGGAAGAGACTCTCCCAGGATAGCTCATGAGCCAACCCCGAGCTATTTTCGCTGCCCGTCCATCCCTCTGAGAGCCGGCGGCCTCGGTGTGCTGAGGACAGTGAGGCCAGATGCACTTGGGAGCTGAGGTCAGATGAGCTGCCCAGTGAGATATTTGGGACAAAAGTCGGCAGCTCGTTTTAGGTCGGCCTGTTCCAGGAAGGAAGGGAGCTGTGAATAACCACTCACCGCCGTGCGGTGTGACCTATATTTGTGCGGTCAGTGCACCCTTAGAAACGTGTGCGAAGGGAAGCAGAGTTACAAAACCACGCTCCCGTCCCCCCAGCGCTCCTGCCCAGGTGCCTTCTCGTGGCAAGTGTTTTGGCGTCGGGTTTGCAGCGAAGGGACACTTAGTGTTCACGTAACGCCCGGTTATTTGATTCTCCCAATCAAAGGTGATTGATTATCGATCCTCATGGGCTCGCCGCCCCGTGGACCAGCCCACGGAGGGTGAGCCCGTGGAAGGTCTGCAAGGAGAGAAGGCCCCTTGGGAATATCTTAGAGCGGGAACAGCTTAAAGACGGTGGAGAAATACGGTCTTTGGAACCGATTCTTTCAAACCCCAGTTTGGACGATTCCACTCCGAGTCCCCCTCAGACTGTATCAAAGTTCAGATAAAACTCGGGAATCAGGAGGCTCTTATCTCAAAACATACAACGCTGATGGGCCCACAGGGCGTTTTAAAGTGTGTCCCACCCTCGGGACTTTAGATTCTTTAAAGAGTTTTGTGTTTGCTCCGAGCAGCAGAACAGGCACGTGTGAAGCCAGCCGACGCGGTGGTGGGTTTGCGTGTGGAGCGTATCGCCCACGAGGTGCAGGGCCGGGGCCTGGCGGGGCCGAAGGAGAAAGTCGTCCGGGAGACCTGCTCGGAGGGGAGCCGGCGCTCGCTGTGAGCGCCTGTGCTGCGCCCCCACTCGGGCGTCCAGCTCACTTTTTTGATATTTCCTTTGAACAATGTCAGCATCACCACGCGCTCTGGGAAGCCCGGGGCAGAGAGGGGAGCAGAGGGGAGGACGGGAGACAGGCCGCCCCGGCGCTCAGAAGCACCAGGGAAATAACTCAAGTGGGAATCCGCCCGAGGGGACCGGGGCTTTTTCTTGGGAGAAATCTGTCAGCCAGAACCGGCTTCCTGCCTGACCCCGGGCCGGTGAGAGTGATGAATCGGCCTTTGTGTGCGCGGGCTTTCTCCTGTGTGTGAGCAGGGGCGCCGTGGCCGCGTGGCGTGCCCCCGGGTGCACATGGAAGTCGCTCGACGGTGACGGTGAGTGGTGCCCACCCCCCGAGGCCGGAGAGGCCTGGTAGAGAGAAACCACGCCGTTCGCGGCGGGGTCAGGGCGCAGGGACCGAGTTGGGTTCCGGAGCTCACGTACAGCTGCGACTCGTCAGCTGAATGTGAGTGGAGGACACGAGTGGCTTTAGGATGGATACATACATTCCAGACCTTTCCTGGACCCCCGATCTGCGGACGTCAGTATAACTTGTACCTTTCCTCGTAAGAGGAGCCCCGCCCCCCGCCCCGGGTCTCAATAACTGTACAAGGCGTTTGGTCCCCGGTTGGCAGCTGGCTCTCGGGGCTCAGCCATCAGCCATGAGGGGCTTCCTGGGTTTATGGGTGACAGCTCATCTCGGGGGACACACACACACGCACGCGCACACACACACACACATGCACACACACATGCGCACACGCCTGTGGGGGCAAGGGGACTGTGGGTGGGTGCCCCGTCCCTCCAAGGTCCTGGGTTTCTGTCAGCCCCTCTTTCCCACTTACCCTCCCCTCCTGCCCACTCCTGCCCCCAGGACTCGGCAAGAGCTCTGCCTGCTGACTGGGGTGTCCTCCCATGTGATGCATTAAATATTAATGCTGTGGTAATTATTAATTATTAATTCAGCACTTTTATATCTGGCCACGGGATTAATATTTGACTGCTCATAACCTGACCTATAGCAGTGCCGGCGTCTCCCCTCACGGGCTGGGAATGCTGGACCCCCGAGCTGGCTTCACCGACTCGGACTCGGGGTCCTATCCCACCCCCCACCCCCTTGCAGCCCGGAGCTCTGGCCCCCCGTCCTCTCCTCACAGCACGTGCTCGGGGCCTCTGTGCTCGGCGTCAGCAGCCCCTGCACCGCCAGGCCGCCAGCTGTCTGTGCTTCCGTCCCCTCCTGTCCCTCTGTCTGTCCTCGGGGCCGTGTGTGACCTGTCAGAAGCCGCCCAGGCAGGTGTCAGCCTTTGCTTTTGTCCTGCCTCGCTGTGCCCTTGCACCTGAGACGTCTGTGCAGGGAGCAGGAGACAAGGAGGGCCAGGGTTCTGGAGAGTTCTGTGAGCTCATTCATTGAGCACGCACCTGGGGAGCTCCAGTGGGGAGCTGCCAAACCCGTTTTCCAGTCCCAGGCCTGCTCCTTCGCACGGGCTGCTCCGTTCCTCCCGGCCTTTCCGCGGCCAGGGCGCCGGGTTAATAGTCACCTTCAGATTGCGCGCTGAGGAATGGAGGGGCGAGGACTAATAAATAACGCGCTCGAGTGTTTGCTGTGCGCCGGGCTCCGCGACGGAGCAGATAATAACTAACCCACCGCTCACGCCCCCCCGTCCCCCGCCCCCCCAGGTGCCTTTGTTCACCCCCAGCGGGAAAACAGAAACCAGGGGCCCCTGGGCCAGGGCTGGGTCAGCACGTGACGCGGCTGCTCTCCGACCCGCCAGTGCGGAGCAGGCGCCTCTGGGAGGTGGAGGGTCTTGCTGTCATGAGCTCGGGGCCCCTTGTTTGTTAAGTGGGTGTCACATGGGGCCGTTAGGGGAACAAATGAGCCCGAATACGTGACCAGCCATGTGCTGCCGCAGAGTCACCTCAGCTGTTATTTACCGAGTTGTTAAAAAGTGACAGATCTGGAAAACACAGAAAAATGGGGTCAGTGTTATTGCAGTGTATTGGGTTACCAGTGAGCGAAACTAACTCGGCCGGAGCACGATTATTCCACGGCTGTCGGAATGTTGGACAAAGCTCCCAGCAGGAAGCAGCCGGGCCACGCACAGCTGCCCGAGCCCGACTCCCACCCCGGCTCCCAGCTCCCTCCCTGCTCCCTCCCTGCCCAGGCCCTTTCCTCCACCCCAGAGTGTGCTGGGTCTCTGGCCTCCCCACGGATTAGCAGGTTCTCCGGAGAGACGGAACCAACGGAACCCACGGGGTATGCGTTTACAACACACACGTGCCACATACACATGGTATTTAAGGAATTGGCTCACGTGGTTGGGGAGTTGCAAACCCAAACGCTGTAGGATGGGCCGGCAGCCTGGACAGCCAGGCCGGAGCTGCAGGGAGTCTGAGGCAGAATCCCCTCTTGCCGAGGGGACATCAGTCTTTTCTCTGAAGGCCTTCCACTGATGGGGGAGGCCCGCCCACATCGGGGAGGCCTGGGCAGCACTGCCTAGAACCCGTGCCTTTGACCGTGTCTTGGTTCGTGTTCTAGCCAAGATGAAGCATAAAATGATGGACCCGAGTCTCCACGTGCACATCTCTGTCTGGCGTTCTCTCTCGTTCTTAAAGGAGCTCTGGGTGCCGTCCTTGCTTCTCTCCCTGTGGCGGCCACAGGCTCCCTCCCGTGAAGACTCCTCTGGCTCTCAGGCCATGGCGAGGGCAGAGGAGGGGCAGCTGGAGGTGCCCGGCCACACACTGAGCCTGTCTGCCGTGGCTCTCCTGGGCCAGGGCTAGGGTCATCGTTGGGTGTTGCCCCGTCCCTGTCTGCCTGCTTGATTTTCAGGGAAGGGGGATCCTGACTGGCCTACTCAGGGCTCCGTGTCCACCTGTGATCTGGCCAGCTGGACCAGGGTGGTGGGCCCAGAGGCCAGGGTCATGGGGTCATGCTGGGCAACTATGGCTGAGGGTGGCCCACCCACCCCAATGGCCCCAATGGGCATGTGCGCTGAGCCGATAAAGGGTGTCTCCTGTACAGGCAGGTGGAAATGAAGTCGGGCTATAATGATTGAACTGCCTCTGGAGTATCCATCAGTGTGAATAAATGTCGTAGGCATCCATCCTCACTGAAATGTATGCTTCTCTGTTTTGCTGCTGTGTCCTCAGATGATAGTTTTCAGTGCTTTGGAACCTGGTCGCTAAGGTGCACATTTGGGTGTGACCCCTCACTGCTACTAACGTTTCTTTTCCACTTTGCCTTTTTAATGCCCAGAGAATGATATTGACCTCGAAGGTCTGGTGAATGATATGAATACATCTTTGGAGAGTCTGTGCCCATCTAGTAACATGCAGTCCGAGACGGTGCCCCTGCGCCAGAACGGCCAGCACACCCGTGGCCAGCCGCCACCTGCAGGAGCAAGGCCCGCGGAGCCGCAGGCGTCTGCGCAGCAGAAGGTGCAGCGTTCCCAGCCCATGCACATCCTGGCTGTCAGGTGGGAGCCCGGGCCTCGCGGGGATCGCGTGGGGGCAGAGCTGCTGCTCTCTGCTGGTTACGTGGTGATGGGGTGACGGGGGTGGCCTCGGGGGACCCACGGGCAGATACAAGCCTCTTCCCCGTGTAGCGTGACTGCACTGGGCAGGGCTTGGTACCTGGTTCAGCTTAGATGACGTATTGAGCCGGGCGCGGGGCCAGGTGGGAGGATGTCAGGGAAGCCGTCAGAGGAGAATGCTCTGGAAAGAATGAAGTGGCCGGGCAGTCAGTGGAGGTATCCAGGCCTCACTGCCCAGAGCAGGGTCCAGGACCGGGGGCCGTGGCATCGCCCCGGCGCCTGCCAGAATGGCACCACCTCAGACATGTGACGAACCCCCAGGGAGTGAGTGGAGGAGCCTCTGTGGGAAGACGGGGCTGGAGGGAGGGACCGGAGGAGAGTTCCTTGCAGAGGACGGTAGGTCTCTGACCTGGGTGAGCCCAGGAAGGGGGAGAGCTCGCGGCAGTGGAGCTGCTCCCCGCTGGCAGGATTCCCTTCCTCTCAGGTGGACACTGTCCCCTTGTAGGTCACACCGGGTTTCCCTTCGCACCGTCCTTGGACAGGCAGCAGGGACAGGGTGCTAGTGAATGAGCCTCCACCCAGGCAGACCCTGCATGAGTCCACTTCTGGGCGGAACCTCAAATAGGCCGGCACAGCAGCAGCGGGGGTGGTGGCTGCCGGCAGGGGAGGGCGGCCACGGGCACGGGGCCCAGCCTGCATGATGAGCGCGTCCTAGGGACGCGGTGTGCGGCGGGGCCCGCGTCAGCAGCACCGTGTTGCACACTGCAAAGGTGGGGTAACAGGTATAAGATCCCAAACCTTCCTTCTGTGAGAGGGCCAGCTGAGCGCTTCCTGGGCAGTGCCCGTGCTTCCTGCGCGTGCCCTGCACTTCCTGCAGGCGCCTCCCTCTTCCTGCGTGGGCTTTGGTTCAGTACCGAGCACTTCTGTGCGTGCCCAGCGCTTCCTGTCCGTGCCCCCGCCTTGGCTGCCTGCTTCCGGTATGCTGCCGGACACTTCCTGTGCGTGCCCAGAGCCTCCTGTGCGTCCCCTGCGCTTCCAGGGGTGCCTGTGCTTCCTGTGCGTGCCCTGCATTTCCTGTACATGCCCCCCTTTCGTGCGTGTGTGCATGTGTGCGTGTGTACATGTGTGCATGTGTGTGTGCACATGTGTGTGCGCTTCCAGCACAGTGCCAAGCACTTCCTGTGCACACCTGTGCTTCCTGTGTGTGCCCTGCATTTCCTCTACGTGCCCCCCCATTTCGTGCATGTGTGAGTGTGCGTGTGTGTGCATGCGTATGAGTGTGTGTGTGCGTGTGTGCATGCATGTGTGAGTGTGCGTGTGCGTGCATGCGTGTGTGAGTGCGTGTGTGCTTGTGTGTGCATGCGTGTGTGTGTGTGCGCGTGTGTGTGCGCTTCCAGCACAGTGCCGAGCACTTCCTGTGCACACCTGTGCTTCCTGTGCGTGCCCCCACTTCTGGTGCTTGCTGCTGCTTTGCGTGCTCTGTGCTTCCTGTGCATGCCCTGCGTTTCCGGTCCTGTGCGTGCAGGTCACTTCCGGTGTGTAGTGTGGGGCCCCCGTTTCCCAGGGGTGTAGGTCTCCACGGGTCTGTGAGGCGAGTGGCGGGGTGGCCCTCAGAGCCCAGGTGAGGAAACCAGGCCCGGGGTGTGACTCGGCCCTCGGCGCGTGGGGAGCCCAGATGCAAGCCCAGGCCCAGGGCCCTGAGCGGCGGAGACGCAGCGAGCATCGTGCTGGGTCCCGGGCCCAGGTCAGGGTCCTCGCCGACTCCAGGGCGTTGTCACCAGGATTGTGGAGGAGTGGAGGGCTTCCCCACCAGGGCCAGGTGGCCTGAGGGAGGAGTGGGCTGCGGTGGAGCAGAGGGCGCGTGTGGGACCCCGCCTGTCTGCTCTGTCTCCCCGCCCTCCACCCCCCGAGTGTCTGCTCCATCTCCCTGCACCCCCCACCCCCAGTGTCTGCTCCTTCCCCATGGCCCCCCGGTTTGTCTGCTTGGTCTTCACGCCCCGCCCCCTGAGTGTCCCCTCCATCTCCACGACACCTCACCCCGGTGTCTGCTCCGTCCCCGCGGCCCCCTGCTTGTCTGCTTGGTCCCCACGGGCCTCCTGCAGCGGGGGAGGGCTGTCCTCCCTGCACCCCCCACCCTGGGTCTCTCAGCCGTTGTGATGTCCCTTAGCTTAGCTTTGGACAGTATTTGTGAACTGCTGTAAAGTCAACTCTCAGACATCATTGATGGAGGCGAAACTCACATCACATGAAAGGAAGCACTTTGAAGGAAGCTCACAGTTGAGGGACACTCAGTGCACGCCCAGCGTGTGCGTGACCTCGCTCTGGCTGCAGGACACTTCCGTCCTCAGGAAGTCCTCCCCCGTCAGCGCGCCCGTCCGCGCTCACAGCCCCGGCCACCGCCCCTCAACAGCCTTGCTGTGGGTTCATCTGTTCTGGACATTCCACTCAGTGGAACCCTGTAACATGGGACCTTATGTATCCAGCCTTTTTCATTGAGGATAATGTTTTGTTTGTTTGTTTGTTTTTTAAGATTTTATTTTTAAATTCAGTTTTAGGTTCCTAGCAAAATTCAGAGGAAGATACAGAGATTTCCTGTACACTCCCCTCCCCCATCGTCAACATCCCCACCAGAGGTATTGTTAATATTTGTTATAATCGATGAATCTGCCTTAACACGTCATCATCACCCAAAGTCCCTCTTACCCGTTAGGGTCCCTCCTGGTGGTGGACGTGCTGTGGGTTTGCACAGATGAATGGCCACATAAATCCATCTTTAAAATCTCACACACAGTATTTTTACTGCCTTAAAACACATAGGACTTTTTAAATGCTCAGGAAAGCCTACTAAAGAGGAGGTTTTGTGAACAACTGGAGCGTTAGAACGTCAGCATCTCCTACTTGGAGTCAAAACCAAGTCACATTGTTGGGCCCCTGGTTCCAGGTCTGGGCAGGAAGGCACTGAAGGTGGGCGTGTCTGGGCCAGGGACACATGACAGCTAGACGTCCGCCCAGGCAGAAGCTGTCACAGGGAGAGGGAGACTTGTCAGCAGGGAAACGAACCCGCTGGCGGGGTGTCGGGGTGGCGGCTGTCACGTCTTCCAGGCGCCGGGCTCCCTTGTGCCGTGGCAGCACGCACGGTGGACGTGGGCATCCCTGCTGGGGCCACGTGGCACGGCCGCCTGGGCCTGCAGGACCCGGGGAACCTGTGCGAGGGTCCCCGTGTCTGTTTCTGTCCTGGCGCACCGCCCCCTCCCCATCCCCCCCAAGAAAGTGAATGGACCATTCATGTAGCCAGATTGTAAAATGAGCGAGAGAGTGATGGGAAGACAGTCTGCAGGAGCGGTTCCCCTCGGGGTCTGTGCAGAGAAGGACGGGAATGCCCAGCGGGGACAGGGACCAGGCGGCCCCCGCAGGGCAGCGCCTGGACAGGGAGCGGGCTCCCTCCCAGCAGAGCCCGGTGCCTGTGGGCCGCCGCTGCCCGCAGGATCCCTGGGGCGAGGAAACACAGGGCACTTTGCACTGTTCTCGCTTTCACTTTGAACTTGGTTTTTCTGCTGTTTTCCTAATTACATCTGATTCATCATCTGTGTATGTTTTGCTTGGTTGTATGACAAGTGAGGCTTGTGTTCCCGGGAGGAGGGAGCTCTGGAGAGACGCCAAGGAGAGGGCGGTGCAGTGCAATTAGGAAGTGGCTCTCGGTGGTGCGAGTGGGTGCAGCAGGGCATTCCTGGGAGGGCACCGGCCCGGGCTTCTGTGCTTCAGGGTGGACGGCCACGTGCAGCATTGCTTTCCAATTAGTTCAGTTTCAGCGGCCTCTTTGTGTAACTAAGCTTTGAGATGAGGGTGCAGGAAGTCTCTTGGAATATTTGTATTGGTCAGAGAAGTGCTCATTCAAGGTCATCGGAAAGCAGTTGTTATGCTTGTGAAAATGCCCTTATTCACAAAACCTCTCCGCATGGCAGGTCTTCCTGGAACAGAAGTGCTGAAGGCACCGTCTGCGACGGGCGTGTGCGCAGCTCTTCTCGCCTGGGTCGGGGAGCCTTTCCCCTGTGAGTCTGAGATGGTAGTTTTTTCCAAGTGTTTAATTGTGGCAAAATACACATGCCATAAGCTTGACCATCTGGACCATTTTTAAGGGTACAGTTCCAGTGTTACATATCTTCACATTGTCATTCAACCAATCTCCAGAACTTGGCCATCTTGCAAAATTAAAACTGTCCCCATTCAACACGAACGCCCCATCTGGCCTCCCCGGGCCCCAGCACCCACTTTCCACTTTGTGTCTCTGAGTTTGCTGAGGATTGAGCTCATACAGGATTTGTCTTTTTGTGACTGGCTTCTTTCAATTAGCAAAGTGTCCTCAAGGCTCATCCATGTCATAGCATGTGTCAGAATGTTGTCCCTTTTCAAGACTGAATACTATCCCCTTTTTATGGATGGACCCCATTTTGCCATCCATTCATGCGTCGATGGACACGCGGGTTGCTTCTGCCTTTGACTGTTGTGAATAGTCCTGTTGTGACCACCCCGTATTTACTGACCTATTCGAGTGCCTCTATGTCTTGCGTGGGACTGCCGGGTCGTGTCGGCGGCAGCTTTTAACCAGTGGTCATCTCTCCTCCCAGGCGCCTGCAGGAGGAAGACCAGCAGTTGAAAACCTCGTCGCTGCCGGCCATTCCCAACCCTTTCCCAGAGCTCGGCAAAAAGGAGAGCTCCTCTGCGCTCGCGGCAGGCTCCGGCTCGGGCTCGGGCTCGGGCTCCGGCTCGGGCTCGGGCTCGGGCTCGGGCTCGGGCTTCCTGCCGCCTCCAAGCCAGCCCCAGCCCCCGGCGAAGACGGTGAGTGGGCCCCGGGCTGAGCACAGGCTGCTGGCCATGGGCAGGCACATGGGCTTCTTCCTGCGGGAAGAAGGGAGAGACAGATCTTCTCTCTTAGTTCTTTTCCTCTGGCAGTTACACTTGTTGCCTTGTACGACTTCTTAACTTATTGACCAAAACTTCATTTATTAAGTCAGCGGTGTATCGATATGTTTTAGGAGTCTCATAAAAGTGATTTTTAGAGTCACAGCAGTTTGCTTCTGAAGAATGAATGTTAGTTTTCTGAACCATTTCACCACCACATTACGTGTGACCCAGTCATGGGGGGTAGACGAGGGGTTCGGGCTGGGCTCTCTCGGGCCCCTGCCCGGCAGTGAGCAGGAAGGCGTCCACGTTACAGTCCGAGCTGAATGTGATCTGCTCGGGGAAGGAGTTTCACTTCTTGAACCAGTAGTTTCTCCGCTAAAGGAGGCTGTGCCGTGTGAATTGTGCGCCATCTCCGGGGGGGTGGGGGGGAAAGCTGAGGCACAGAGTGTCAGTCACGTGCCCAAGGTCAAGGCACCAGTAATCAGCTCGTCAGGGATGGGCTGGCGGCTCTGTCCCTCCTGGTTGGCAGGGCCTGGGCCAGGGTAGGTCCCAGGCTCAGAGGGAGGCCCAGGGATGTCCTGTTTGTGTGTGTTGGGGGATTGGAGGAGTAAGTATAACATAACCGCCATGACCACGGCGCTTCTGACGCCCACCAAGGGCTCGCTGTGTGCCAGGCACTGCTCTCGGTGGCTTATTTTTTATTTGCTTATATGTCTATTTCCCAAAACAACCTAAGAGGTAGGTGTAAGTGTTCTCTCTCTGTAGCAGGGAAACTGAGGCCCAGCTCTAAGTTGGTGGAACTTAGATGGGACCCAGTGTGAGTGTGAGATTTGGGGTGCATGCTGACCTCAGGCTCCAGAGCCTCTGATTTTAACTGGGCCCTGATGTTCTTTCTTTTCAGCAAAAGTGTTTCAGAAGTTCCTTTGCCTTTTCTGCTAGAACCGTTCCCTTCTACTCTCTCGGTATTTTTCCACGTTTGCCGTGAAGGGAGATGTCCCACAGTCCCTGTTCTCTGAAAACCCTCCCGTCCCGTGCGAGGCAGGGGCGGGCTCGCTGTCAGGAAGGCGTTTCTCCTGGTGCTCCCGGCTGCTGAGCTCTGCCCCCGTTCTGACCTCACGCCTCCAGAGCAGGCCGCGTTGTCCCCCATCAGCACTGAGCGAGTGAGGTCAGGCCCGTCTGGAGCCGAGCTGCCAGGCCACGGCCCTTTGTCACATGCCTGCAGCCCATTCGGGACGTCTGCCTCCCTGGTGACCTTCTGCTTCAAATAAGGGTCTAGACAAGCTGTCTGTGGATTGGTCACTGGGGCTGTTTACAAAGTTACTCATCCTAAAATAAGGCCGTGAAAATACCATCTGGCTCTCGCGGCGGCTGGCAAGCCCCTGGCCTCCACCCCCACGGACTGTCCAACTCGAAGGAGAGTCAGGAAACCCAGGAATTCGGCCTGCTGCTTTTCTTGGGTTGGCGCTCGCTGCCCATGAGAACATGGTGTTGGTGTCTGTGTTTCTGTCACACAGATTCCTCCGGGCCCTGGAGACCCGCAGGCATGGAGCGAGCTGCAGGTTGTGTTCTCGGAGGGGCGGGTGCTCTTCCTCCGCGGGCTCTGACCTGATCTTGTGCAAAGCGGGTGGCGTTGGCCCTGTGGGTCGTGGTGGGCAGGCGGCCGCGGGTTCCTGCCCAGCCTGGGACTGCGGTGGGCAAGGAGGTGGGGCTCCTTCTGTGCCACACGCCTGAGGGACAGGGGACTTCGATGTCCTGCCTCTGCACACCAAGTACGAGGAAGCAGCCTGGTCACCCTCTCCTGGGCGCAGCCTGCAGGCCCGCTCGGAGAGAGATGCGCTGTTTGGGCTTCCTCCCGGGGCAGGGCAGGGCTCTGCGTCATGTGCTCTCAGCTGCCTTTGGCTGCAGGAAACTGGAGGCCCTATTGGCTGCAGGGGGGAGGAAGTGCACTTCTTGTGCCTGAGATCCGGGCAGGAGGCAGAGGCCCTGGGCAGCCGGGCTCCATGATGTGGAACCGGGGTCCCCTCCGCACGGAGGCCTGTCCCGCACACGGGAGGGGGCCAGCGCCCCACAGACATGACGAGGTGGAGAGGGAAACGGGCGTGTGTATGTGGGCGAGCCAGCAGGGGGTAGAGTCGGGTCTTGGTGCTCGACGCAGGGCCAGGCACATTCAGAGGAAGCAGGGGACGCGCGTGAGTGGGCCAGCTGCCTGGGGACAGGAGGGGAGGAGGGCCACGGAGGGGCTGGAGAGGAACGCACAGGAAGCCCCGATTTCTGAAGTCGGGCGAGCAGTGCACACTCAGGAGCGCTCCGGACCACGTGGCCGGGCGGGCCTTCCAGCCAGTGAAGGTCCTCGCGCAGCCGCACGGGGACTTGCTGCAGCAAGTTTTCCCGTTTGTTTTGTAAACACAATTAGTCACATATTTTAACCCCATTATTAATAGGGCATAAATATTGTCTTCGCTCCAAATCAGCTCTTCTCTCTTTGCTTAATTTTAAAAATTAATTTTCTGGAAGTGAATTAATTGCCTTGCGTAGGGCTTTGACAGGCATTTGCT